AGTGTTATGTTCTTAATTTTTGGCAAGTTTAAAATTGATTTCTCCCCTGATTCTTTGAGCCGCCTGAAGTTGTGTAATGCTTGCCTCAGGCAGCTATGGACGCTGATTATTTTTGAACTATAAATGTTACATTTTTGGGGTAGAAATATTATAACTAGTGGGTGGGAAATTGTTGAGTCGTAAGCTGCATAAGTTTTACTCCCTAATTCTCCTTTTTTTTTTTTTGAAATTTGCTTTTTAAAATCTAATTGGGATCTTTCAGTTCACTTCTTTAAGAGAAGATGAGCCTTAATCAGGACTTTGCCAAATGTCAAAACCTACATAAATAGGATTAAGCATTATGCTCCATTCCATGCTTTTTGGCAATTGGAGTTTTTCATGGCTCTTTTGCACTCTTATCTCTCATCTGAAACAACCAAGAATACTTGATTTTAGTCCCCTTTTCTCTTTCTACTCCCACCAAAATCACAAAGAACCCAACTCCCCTCATCAAGGGAACTCAAAATTATTGAACTTGGTCAAGCTCATGTGCCAATCCCCTTTAAATTAATGAAGACCAATTAATTGTTATCTTATGGGTAAACAATTTGAGTCTTTGGTTGGTCATCTGACAGATGAGAGATTTGAACGCCAAAGTTGCCAAAGAAGAGGAAGGAGAGTCCCAAAGGGGAAAGGAAAAATAGAGGTTGTAGTTTTATAAGTGTGCGTGATTTGTTCCTTCTCCACCATATGAACCTTCAATGATATTCAACATTGGAACACAATTACGATAGTATTAAGAATGTAATTGAAAGTATGCTTAATAAATATTAAAAATTTTCTTCTATTTCAATAATTAAAAATCTGCATATTTGTATTGATTTTTATTAGAATTTTAAGGGGCATTTTGGCAATAAAGTGTTCAAATTCATGGTAGAAAACTACTATGTGGTTTGCTTGATTACTATTAGTAAAGTTAAGATAATGGAATTGCTTATTTATGGACCAAAAATCTAATAGTATTTTTCCTAACATTTTGACTTCAACCAGCATATTGGTATAAAAAGTTTCTGGCCATGGCATTGATGCTTACAAGGCTTCTGCTTCTTTTGTCTTCTTCATCTTCTTTTTTGGGGGGAGAGGGGTTGGTCGTGGTGGTTCCCATTTTAGCTAAATGGCAACCATGAGGATGTTCTCAGATCCTCTAGTTATTGAGAATTCCCTTGGCAAAATTGAGTGCTAGGCATCCTTTTGTTAGACCGCTGAATTTCGATTGGAAATGGGAAGTCTTCTTGGTCAAGATTTTCTTCTGCCTAAAGCGGAAATATATTTATCTATTTGTAAAAATTCAGCATGGCAATAACATCCTTCCTTTTCTTGCAACCGTTAATTTGGTGTCTATAATCAAGTACATGTTCATCCCACATTTGCAGGCAGCTCAAGATGGGGTGGACATAATAAGCTTATCTATCACTCCCAACAGGCGTCCACCTGGTATTGCAACATTTTTCAATCCTATTGACATGGCATTGCTATCAGCTGTCAAGGCTGGCATTTTTGTTGTGCAAGCTGCTGGCAATACTGGACCATCACCCAAGAGCATGTCTTCATTCAGTCCATGGATCTTCACCATTGGTGCTGCCTCTCATGACAGAGCATATTCTAACTCTATCATCCTTGGAAACAACGTGACCATCCCTGGAGTTGGACTTGGACGTAAGTTTACCTTTCAAATCTATTTCCTTCTTTATCAATTTGAGATCAAGTGATGGATAACAGGTTTTTTGATTTGTTTTGCGTGCTTGTGGATCAAAGAAAGAAAAGAGAAGTATATATATAGAATTTCTCTTATTCTGTTTTGTAATTTTAGTTGGTTTCCTATGCATATTTCATTTTCCGTGAAGGAGTTTGATTGTTAAATCCCTCTTCCTACTTTTAAAAGTGATTCTGAAATACTGGATAACAATTGTGTCAATCTTTGCATATTGAGTGGTACATTACTGTGTCCATATGCTTCACATGCTTAACTTAGACATGGACCTGATAAAACCTGGACCTTATATGCTGGTTGACTTCATTTAATCTCTTTCATTAACAGATTGTTGTCACTCCTTAAATTTATAATTAGTAGTTTGATCTTATACACCAATAGATTATATCTATTCAACTGATGCATGTAATTATTGCTATTGTAGATTCCATTCATATTACTCATTATTAGTAAGTGGGATATATTACTCTTTCTTTTCTTTCTCTTCCTTATTTGGCAGCGGGGACGGATAAAGATGAAACGTATACACTGATTTCTGCACTTCATGCTCTATGCAATGACACAACACTTGCCGATGATATGTATGTGGGCGAATGCCAAGACTCTAGTAACTTTAACCCGGAACTTATTGAAGGAAACCTGTTAATCTGTAGCTATTCAATCCGATTTGTACTTGGACTCTCCACCATCAAGCGGGCCGTACAAACCGCGAAAAACGTTAGTGCAGCTGGAGTTGTGTTCTACATGGACCCTTTTGTAATTGGCTTTCAGCTCAATCCCACGCCATTGGAAATGCCCGGCATCATAATTCCATCCCCAGATGATTCCAAGGTGAAGGTTCTGCATGTAAATCATGAAGGCATATGCGAATTCTTTTTCTTACATATCAACTTCTTGTTTCTTTGTTTGTAATTGCATATGGTCGGCAAACCTTTTAGTTCTTTCCAAAACATTTGATTAAGTTGTGACCTGTGCTCATAGAGTATATTCTCTCTCTCTCTCTCTCGCTCACACACACATATACACACAAACAAACTGAGAATTCACTAATTTATTATGATTATATATACTGAACAGATTTTACTCCAATATTACAATTCTTCATTGGAGAGAGATGGACTTACAAAGAAAATTGTTAGATTTGGGGCAGTTGCAAGCATTTCAGGTGGACTGAAAGCAAACTACAGCGTGTCTGCTCCAAAGGTTATGTATTATTCTGCCAGGGGACCAGATCCAGAGGACAGTTTTCTAGATGATGCAGACATAATGAAACCCAACTTGATTGCTCCTGGAAATTTGATATGGGCTGCCTGGAGTTCTCTTGGCACAGACTCAGTTGAATTCCAAGGTGTTAGATAAAGAAATAACTCAATTACAATTCTACATAAGTCGCATTGTTACTTAAACAAATAACTTGACCTTACAGGTGAAAGCTTTGCTATTATGTCTGGGACGAGCATGGCTGCACCTCATATTGCTGGGCTTGCTGCACTGATAAAGCAAAAGTTTCCTCATTTCAGTCCTGCAGCCATTGCATCTGCACTTTCTACAACTGCTTCTCTTTATGACAAGAGTGGTGGCCCCATAATGGCCCAGCGTGCCTATACTAATCCTGATTTAAACCAGTCTCCAGCAACACCATTTGACATGGGCAGTGGTTTTGTAAATGCCACTTCAGCTCTTGATCCGGGTCTGATCTTGGATTCTAGTAAGTCATTCTGCTTTTAGTAAATATAACTTTTTATGAGCTATTCTGCATTAGGTTGTATATATATGTTGTTAAAAATTATTGTTTATCAAATTGCAAACAGAAGAAAGTCATGAAGTATTAGTCAATGGAAATCTAAGGATTTTCTGATATCTGTTTGGGTCCTACTGCTCTTAGATGACTATTCCATGAACATCTCATTCTAACCTCATATACTTGGTTGTTGCAGCTCATGATGATTATATGTCCTTTCTTTGTGGCATTAACGGTTCTGGTCCCGTGGTCTTAAATTACACTGGTCAAAACTGTTGGGTTTATAATTCTACCATTGGCAGTGCTGACCTGAACCTGCCTTCAATCACCATTGCAAAACTGAACCAGTCTAAAACGGTTAAAAGATCAGTGACTAACATTGCTGGCAATGAAACTTACAAGGTTGGCTGGAGTGCTCCTTATGGGGTTTCCATGAAGGTCAGTCCAACTCATTTCTTTATTGGCACTGGAGAGAAGCAGGTCTTGACTATTATCTTTAATGCCACAATGATCAACACTTCTGCCAGCTTTGGGAGGATTGGACTTTTTGGAAACCAAGGTCATAATATCAACATACCATTATCAGTTATTGTCAAATTTTCCTACAATAGGACTGATGGCTGAGGATTTTTGCTGGGAGGTGTTTTCTTCTGTTCTTTGCTGTGTTTTATAATCTGCCTTTCTTGCTTTCTTCTTTAGCTTCCATGTTGTTAACCAATTTTTTCATTCATTATCCTGTAAATGCCAAATTATTTGTAATCTTAGATATACCACAATCGATTGAATAATCTGTAGTGGTTCATTTTGGCCATCCTATCCCTTTTTTCTTCTCTTTTTGCTTTTGCCACCCCTTTAACTGTCACCCTCACAGTTTGTTTCGTTCATATTGTTCACGAATCTTATATTAGTTAGAGATGAGGTATTTGGGCTTATAAGTAAAAATGTTTCTTTACTTTTGAGGTGAATTTTAAATTTATGAATAAAGATTTTTCTTTACGTAATAAATATGTATTTTTGGATAAAGATGTTTTTTTTCGAAAATGTGAGTTGTGACTCGCGTGCTTATTATAATTTATTCATGGATTTTAATATTTCATTTATTAATTAATTAATTTGATTATAAATAGATCTCATGTTTGGATTTAACCAATTATTAATCGACTTACCTATGAATTGATGGATCCTATCTTTGGATTTAGTAAATAATTCAAACCATGCATGCCAAGGTGTACAATTAGTTAGAACAAAAATGATGGGACAAGAGCATGACTCTTTTGAATCAATATGTTCCTTTACTTTTCAAAATCTTCACACAATTTTCTCCATCAAAATAATGTTGAGAAAGTCAAATTTTCCAACATTCACATCATCTAAAATCAACCATGAGAAGATTGCAGAGCAATTGTTCAAACAAGGAAATAGAAAACCCACACCTCTAGATGGCTCTTGCTTTTTGACACTTTGTGGTCATCATTCTTAAAGCACCACCAATGAAGTGTTCGGAAAAAATTTGGAAACAAGAATATGGAATAATATTACATGACATATGTAATGTACACACTTGGTGATTATAAGATAAAGAAGTCAGAACTAAGTATAATTTTTTGTATTTAAGGAACAAATGTATCTGAATCGGTTAACTAATAATCGAATCATAGCTCATCCCTCCTCTATATGATATAGCAATACTATTCTTTTGCTATAGTTCTTAATTCACTTTCTTTTCTAAGCAACATTGTATCAAGAATATTGCCTTGAATACCTTGTGAGTTTTCAATGGTGGTTTTTGTTTCAGTTGTCTCAAGGTCCTCTCATCCTCTCAACAATATGCCTACTCTTTTCTTCGATGTGACGCCTCTTCTCTTCAAATTTCTCCCCCATTTTCTTCCCCAAATCAAGCATCCTTGCCTTTCTACCCACCTTCTTTGGCCTTGAATCATTGTCATCAATTACATCACTCTGCCTTTCAAACTCTACCAGTGACCTAGATAATGACTGTGATTCTGAAGCTTCCTCTCTGTTCTCCTGGCATGCTTCATGTGGTTCATCAGTTGCAAGAAGGGGAGTTCCTAGATCTTGCAAGGACTTACTCCTTATAGTAGAAGAATCCACGGAGCTTGAAGAAGGCATGGCTGCACAATCAACGACTGGTGGCTGCAAGGAATCCACCTTTGGTTGTTGATGCTCACTGTCTGAGGTTCTCCTGTTTTCCTTCGCTTTTGATTCCGTAAGTTGAGGGCCTTGAGCTTCACGCACAATTTTATTATCAGTAACTGCTTCTTGATTAAGCCATATAAATGGGGCAACTTTCTTTGGGACCCAATCATCTTTTTCTGCTAACATCCAAGGAATGCATGCACTTTCACAATTTGGAAGCACCATAGTTTCCCGTATGGCCGCCTGCGCAAATGATGGAAGCATCAGCTAAAGCCACTTGGCAGTTTTCTATCATCCTATCAAAGCTGAGTCCAGCATTGAAAATTGTGACAAATAGCTCATCATTCGTTTTCTATGGCTAAAATGAAAAAGACTGCATAAATTCGGTAAAAAAGGTAAATTTTTCCTTCTATAAACACTTGGGAACATAAGGTGTATTAGTCAAGACAGTTGGATTGAAAGCCCTTTTTTGCCATTCTGGGGCAGGGAAGGAGGCCGGAGGGAATTTTGTTTATACTAATGTATAAGCCTAATTACTCAGTTCAGTGTCAAGTTAAATGACACAAACTCAGTAGATAAAATTCCTTTAAAACCAAATAAAATTACAAAAATAAATATAAAACTAAGACATATACATCTTTTCAACTTTGTTTTTATAAAACACTTTTTCTTCTTTTTTTGCTACACATGCAGTTGCCAAAAAAAAAAAAAACCACTTTTGTTATCATGTACCTTCTCTTCCAAAACACAACTCCTTTGTTTAATTTTTCAAAACATTTTTTTTCTCTTCAAGTAGTTGGTGTGCCAAATTCTTGTGTGTTTCGTGCAACAGGGTAACCGATGTTTCACTTGGAAATTTTCATTAAGCAATTTAAGGAATAAAATGAAAAAAAAAAACTGAAATATGTTTTTCATCAAGCAATATTACTATGTAACAAATGATATTCATACCTTAAACCGACTGATCAAGAACAAAGCAATATGTCCACTAGAAATCTTGTGTTCCCCAATAGAAGACTCAAGGTCAAACTCTATATCAGGCATGGAGGTGAAGCCAAACCATAACTGATCAGAAGGAGGTGGCTTTATATATATCCGCAGCGTTCCTCGAAGGGATGCAACCCTTATTGACAAAGACAGAGGCACCTCCAATTCGAAATATCAATTAGTTTAATAATAAAAGACAAAATTTTCGATTCAATGATAGATGATATGGAATAAATTTTATTAGGAATACGTTAATAATATGCTCAAATCAGTATAACATGATGAAAGACCCATACACAGCGGTATTCTTTAACCTGCGATTAAGTAAACATGCAAATATCAGATAAGTTCGTCAAGAACATAATGGCATGACAAACACCATGTTGATAATATATGAACCATCCTATTGGGATCAAGAGGGTGAATCAGAGGCCTCTACAACAACAAAAGAATAACATTGTTAATCCAGCAAATGTCAATGGCTTGCTTTAAGATCTACTAGGTCTGATTCTTTTAATTTTGTCCATCAAATTCAAGAATTACTGCAGTAGATCCTACTGAAATGAGTGGTCTATTTCTCCCTAATTTCTTCTATTTCTTCCTCTTTTCCCCCTAATTTCCCTATGAATTCTAGTTTCTCTCCCTATTATCCATCCCTAGAAATTCCTATCTGTCCAGACATTCTTTCTTCGAATTGGTGATTTCTCAACCTCTCTTCAAATTGGATATGACCTGTCCTTATGATATGAAATCAACCCACAAATTTCATTTTTACTAACAAACCAATATTCAAATACAACATTCTATATTCAATAACACAATATTCAGATGCAGAAAGGATAGGCTCATTGCTCTACATTCAATGAGAAGTAAAATAAGGGTTCTGTCTGTTCCTCAAATACCAAGCAAGTTCAAAGAATTTCAATTGGTATCTATGAAGTTCCCTTCTTCAATTTGTAGGATCTTGAACTATCTACTTTTAGAGGATTTATAAAGGGGAGATGGGTGTTTTCATATTAACATTCAAAGTTTCTTCTTTAATTACATAAATACCTCCATAACCCTTGATTGCCGTTTTTATGAGTTCCTCTTAGCAGAAAAACTTCTATGTGTAAATAGATTATACACAAACCTGTGAAACCTGTTTAGCTACGGAATTTAGAACAGCCTTCCAGCGAGACACATAACTTGTTGTCGATGTAGCTTTAGAGCCTTTTAGACCATCTGAAGCCGAAAGAGAGAGAAATCAAAGGATGAAAATAGCATCATTTATCCTAGCCAGATTAATAGAGTAAAAACAGAAGCAGAGGACCAATCCGAAATTATACTTGATGAATTAGGTGAAGCTACAGAAAGAGCTGCATTTGAAAGAGAAGCGCATGTAGTTACAGTTGCATCATCTTTGAATAGAGAAAAGTGGAGGGAAATGAAGTAATATGTTGAAACCATTAGAGTAGAAAATTCAAGAGTGAAAAGAGGAGAAAAGTTATGCATAGATTCCTCTCCTAACAACCATACATGTCTTAATGTGTATGTTCGCAACAAGAAATCACATAGAGAGGGTTCCTTATCAAGCCCACCCATGCCATGCAAACAAGTTGTGGTCCACCATGCAAGCATGTCATGCAAATTTGGGAATAGGCATCTCATACACATACAACCTGCTTCTCTACATAAAACCTTCTTATACCGAGAGGGGGGGGGGGGGGGGGGTTCATTTATAGCAAGAGACAAAGACATGACAACACCAGGACAGAGATCTGGAGTCAGCAAGGCCTTCCATCTAGGAATTTCTTAAAGTTGTGATTTATAATTTCCTAAAAAGGGTGTAACTTTTGATCTTAACCAATGAGTGTCCACGTTCTTTGTGCATAATTGGAAATCCGTGTTTTTTTTTAAATAACTACATAAGTAAACAAATAATAAACTGCATTTTATGCATCAGCAAATCTTGAGCCAAGTGAATGAGGAAGGGGACAAAAATATATATCATTATCATACTAACCAACTTTAGGGTCAACCTCATCCTCTTCAGGAAGATTCAAATGCTTTCCAAAGTGCTCAAAGCCTTCAAGAAGGTCTGAAGACATATTCTCAACAGAATTTGATTCTGAATTTGCATCCACTATGCCTTTTTGAAAAGCCTGGTCCTGAACTTCAAGTCTTGTTTCAACATCTAACAAAGCTCTACCAGAGTATTCAGCATCAACCTCAAACGCCCATACCTCATTCATGTCTGTAGCGAGGAGCCTCATTGCATGGATATAAGGTGGGAGATTCCCAATGTCTACACCAGTACAAATGACTTCACCTATGTAACTAGGGGTCCTCATATTGGACAATGTTCTCTGTTATATCAAATCATAAAAATCATCAGAACTATCTTCAAATGTACAGTCAAATATTTTTAATAGAATTAATTGCATGAAAAAGTAGAAGGCAATATGGCCATTGAACATCTGAATCAAAACATTGATGCAGTAATAGTACACACAAGAAAAATATAGTATACCTTGACGACCAAAATACTTGGTTAAAAACCAAAACTTTGCCTTCACAGGTAAATAAACTGATAAAAGGAGAGGCTGAATTAGGAAACTCAAAATACACCCGTCAAAACAAACAGAAGATTTTGTCTTTTCGCCCTTTTAGGCTGGAAAACCAACTAAATTGTCAAGGTGCAATTTTTTGTACCAAAACAATGTCAACGTAATTATGCCTAGCAGCAAAGAACATTTTCATTTTGTTCTTCACCTTGGTAGAGTCAATCAGAGAGTAGACTGATTCACAAAGTGCAATTAATGAATCAACAAGAAACATGAAGAGGCAATACCATACACAAAAAATTAGAAAAGCACAAAGTCTGATTTTGGTGACTGTCCAACCTGAATCCGTGTTTGAATGGAACTTTTAAACCCTGCATTGCCTTTGATATCAAAAAAGATTCGAGAAATTATCAAGTTCCAGCAGAGTGTTCCTTCATCGAAATTTAGCCTGTCTTGTTCAGAATCAGCATCAGAAGCAACAGAAGTACAACTTTGACTAGCTGAGCGAGGAAAACCTTGTGATAATGGAAATGCCATATTTTCTTCGATCAAACTGTTCGGCGCCTTGTTTGTCACTGAATCTTGGAATGGCTGCTGTTTTTCAGTCTTTCTCTCTTCACGGACAGGTTGATAAGTCCAAATTCCCTTATTTTCCATACCAGGCTTCGAAGCCCTTCTGGACAGCTTTTTCCAAAATAATCTAACTTTTGATGAAGTTCCATCAAGCCCACTTCCCTTATCAATTGGCTCAGCACTAAAACCTAATGAGGGTTTCATTAATGAAGGATATCCAGCATTTAAAGATGCCAGGTAAGAATGGAAATCTAGATTCAACATGGTGAACCACTTCAACTTTTCTTTATCCTCACATGAAGCAAGACGAAGAGCTTTGCACCATGACTCCTTCTCCCAGGAAGTCTCCAGAAAAAGGTAAATGATTTTACATCCATTGTATATTGGTGAAGTCTTGCTTTCCATTTTTATTGGAAATTTCTTGGCCCTGTCAAACCATTAATACAAGGGAAACGAATGAGGCAAAAGTCAAATATTTTGAAAGTGAACAACTGGAAAGACAGAATTAAGTGATATCAGAATCGAATTGTGTGATACTAAGGTGGCAAGCTAAGTGTGGCATCATATTCTTCAGTGAATGAGGAAATTATCACCAATGGTGCTGTTAGACCTGCCATTAATTTTCAGAGGCTAACTCAGAAAGAGAGAAGAATTCCTTTTGAAACCTAAAGCAAAACGATGGGATGGGATGGATAACCTTGACATTCAAGCAAGAATTGTTGTTGTAAATACTAAATAAATGTACATTTTTCGAGCAGCAAAAATTGACAGTACCATTTTCTCGAGGGCAAGTTAGTAGCGGAAACAGCCTCAATTACGCAGCCCTTGAGGGGAATAGTAGTGCGGGAAGCATCAGAATGTGTCAAAATCAGGCTGTTGCCCTCGATTTTGCCATGTTTTCGAGCGGGAGAAACCTCCAACAGCATTTCCTTCTTTCTCTTGGGCTCTCTGGGTGGAACTTTTTCCGGTTCCAAAACCCAAACAATCCCCTAAACACATGAAAAAGGACTGAATGAAATGGAGGTTAAAAATCTCAGCAAACACAGAGGGGACATACCTGCTTGCTGTAAGCGAAATCGAGGGGCTGTTGGCTTTGGAGTTTGGGATGCTGGGTCGCATCAGATTCTTTCTTGATCTTCCGATTCAACCGATTTAACACAAGCAACACTCCCAGGACTTCCACGCCGACAATTGCTAACACCCCAACAACCAACCCAGCAATGAACACGCTCAACATCCTTGTTTCATTCGATCCAAATTCAATTCTGCTTCTTATTTCTCATTTCTCATTTATTCTTTCTTAATTCTTAAGGAGTTAACGAATCTTAGAGAAGAAATACTTTTCCCACATATATTCCCTTTAATACACTAGATAGAGACTCTGAAAATTAAAATAAATAAATAACTGAACAAAATAGACTTGACCCAGCCTTACCAACCAAGCAAGATGTATAGGAGTAAGACGTCTCCTAATTAGTACATGTGGTGATTGAGGCAATTCGGGTTTGGGTTATTTTGAGTTAAAGATTAATTCGGGTTCAAATAGTCTCGAGTTTTACTTATTTTAGTTTCGGATCGATTCAAATTTAGAATATGAAATTCATATTCGAACTACTTTGAGTTCGAGTTATATGAATTTAAAAATTTATCATTTGTTCGTTTACTCATTTTAAACAAAATCATTTTTATGGTTCAAATATTTTAAGATCGTATGTGATTATTTAACAAGAATATAATTTATTTTAATAATCAATTTTCTTTAATTTATATATTTTTGTTTTTTTTCTGAAGGTGAATCATTATATCAATTTTATTTTCCTTACAATCATAAAAATTCAAAATCTTTTTTGATTTCGGCAATTAGTAATAAATTTGTGTACATTTCAAAAAAAATTAAAAATTAAATTTATATCAAATTATAAATTCAAGTTTTTATGAATTTCGAATCAAATCGATCTCGTGTTCAAGTTGTTGTAGGTTTGAATCACCTTAAGTTTGAATTATTTTAAGTTCGATTCATTGCAAGTTCAGATCACCTAAAGTTTAGATCATGACTTGTTCAAATTCAATTATTTTTTGGTTCAACTAAATTATTTTTTTGGTTAGTTCTGATGAGTCAAGTTTGATTTTGGGTTAATTTGAACAATATTTTTGGTTCAGTCAAATTTTACCACCTTTATCTATTGGTAGTATGGTGTGTCTTCCATGGTAATGTATAGGATAAGTTTCCTCTTTATATATATATATATATATATATATATATATATTCTCATGACAATATATATTATAATGAAACATTTGTAAACTCCTAACTTCGTTTGTGAAGTTTAAAATTTTTATGATTAATGTAAATGATAATTTTCTTTTGGGCTTAAATTCACTTATATGAGCAAAAAATTGACATAATAAATTTTCTAAATATAAATAAGTAAAGCTATATTTCTCAATAATTATTTCTCTCTAAGGGATTTCATCTTCCCATGTACAAACATAAAATATCTCTCCCAGAGTCTCACCCTAGCTTTATGCTATGACAATTAGGAAAACAGCACCACTACTTATTCTATTAAATAAGCTCAAACTACAAAAACAAATGTATGCCTTACTTTATTGATCCTCCTTAATGTTATTCAGAAGCATTATTTTAATATTTTTGAGCATGGAAACAACATCCTTCATATCTTTCCTGTCTTCTGGTAATTCAGCCGAACAATCCAAAGCTAACCTCATAATAGATGATATACAATTTGCTTTAACAACAAAGAATTCATCCTTTGTATGCATTAAACTCGAATCTGCTACACCAATTATTCCATCAGAGAATGACCTTTCCACCCATCGCTTCATACTCATTTCTCCAGCAAAAATTTCATCTGTGGGTTTTTTTCTTGTGAAGACCTCCATTAATAGAATACCATAACTATAAACATCACTTTTTACAGAAAGGATTCCCGTTGATCCGTATTCTGTATGTTAAACAAAATTAAATAATTAAAAAGGTAATTAAAACATGTTAGAATAGGTAATTAAAACATCACCTGGTGCCATGTAGCCAATGGTGGCAAGTGTAATTGTTTGTTTCATGGACTCTTCTTCTCCCAATAGTTTGGCAATACCAAAATCTCCCACATGTGCAACCATGTCTTGATCTAGTAAGACATTACCCGGTTTTAAATCACAATGGATTACAGGCATTGGATGTCCCAAATGGAGGTATTCCAGTGCTGATGCTACATCGATCATTATATTGATTCTTTGAAAGATATCTAGGAAATAATTGTGAGAATATAACCATTTCTCAAGGCTCCCATTAGGCATATATTCAAGAACCAAGGCTTTGAAGTCAATATTAGAGCAACTAGTAATGACCTTGACCAGATTCCGATGAAGGATATTGCGCATCACCTCACATTCATTATCAAAACTCCTAAATGCTCCATCTATTTGTAACTTGAAAACTTTTACTGCAACATTTGTCCCATCTGAAAGTATCCCTTTATATACAGAGCCAAAACTTCCTGAACCAAGCAAGTTGTTTTCACTAAAGCCATTAGTCGCTTGCGAGAGTTGATTATATGAAACTCTTCTCCATGTTTCTAACGGAATCAAATCTTCCCCAATTTCTGAACTTGTGCTCCTCTTCTGCCATTTTTTGTAGACAATAATGCAGGCTGCAATTGTTATTACTGAAGCAATTGTTGGTAAAACATATTTCAACACATGCACAAGGGCCTTCTTAGATTGTCGATGGATGGTATTTTTGCAAGGGGGGACTTGTAATCTAGGTGAACCACAAAGTGCATAGTTTTTCATGAATGATTCAGCTATGAAGTTGGCAAAGGGCCCTCCACTGGGGATTTGTCCTTCCAATCTATTGAAAGACACATCAAAATGCTTGAGATCAAGAAGTTGTTCCAAAGACTTGGGAATGACTCCAGAGAGATTGTTGTCTGATAAATCCAAGACTTCCAAACTTATCAAGTTGCCCAATGATTTAGGAATAGGACCTTGTAAACTATTACTAGAAAGTGCTAGAAGTTGAATATCATCGAGACTCCCAATTGTGTCTGGAATATCACTTGATAACAAATTCTTTGACAAATCCAAATATATTAGTACCTTCAAATTTTCGATGTCAAGTGGAAGTGGACCGATAAGAGAGTTTGACGACAAGTCTACACTTAAGAGATCTCTGAGGCTCCAAAGAGATGAAGGTATTGTCGCATGCAATTTGTTAGAGGACAAGTTCAGATATCTCAAAGAAGTCAAATCACCCAGACATGTCGGTAAAGGTCCATCAAGCTCATTAGCACCTAATGATAATCTGTTCAATCTCTTTAAACCACAAAGATCATGTGGAAGGGACCCTTGTAATCTATTTCCATCAAGATGCAAAACCTGAAGATTCCTAAGCCTTCCTATTGTCATTGGAATAGATCCACTCAACTCATTGAGGGCAAGGCCTAATGCTATAATGTTGCTTAAGCTGCCAATTTCCGTGGGAATCTTGCCTCCAATTTTGCAATCATTGACACGTAAATATTGGAGTGAAGTAGAGAGATTTGAGATAGAATTTGGAAGAAGGGCATTCAATGGGTTGTATGATAGCTCTAAAACTCTCAAATGCCGACAATTTGCCAAGGAAGAGAGAAAGCTCCACTCACCATTTGAAGTTTGTGTGGTCAAATTGTTGGACCAAAGGCGCAACACCTCAAGGAACCTTAAATTGCCAAGTGTGTTTGGAATAAGGCCATGGAACGAGTTCCTGTTTAAGTCTAGGAGAGTGAGCTTAGAAGCATTGCAGATAGAGTCTGGGATGTTTCCCTTGAGATTGTTTCCCCACACAATGAGTCTCTCAAGATTTGAAACAGAGCTCATGTCTGGCAATTTACCTACATAAAAAAGAAGGAAATGCAATTGCATCATTATGTAAAACTTAAAGTTGCATTTGGTGGGAAACAGAGTTGAGCTGATACGAAGAAGAAGAAGAAGAAGAAGAAGCAGGGGAGTACACGTTTGCTTCCATAAGATACTATAAATAATTTTTTATTTATTTTATTTTTATCTGTTTGGTTGTATTTAATTAATTTTTATGTAATTATCTTTAAAAGTAAATGTAAAAAATTAGAGAAAAATAACAAAAATAATACAAAATTACAAAAGGGCATTTTTACTTATGGAATTTTTTTGAGAAAAGGATATTTTCAAAGAAATTTGGACTTTTATCCACGAAAATTTTTATCAAAAAAAGTAATTCCAACCAAAATTATCAGCTAATTTTAGGGAAATTTAATAATATATAAATAAACTATTACGAATGAATTTTTTTAATATTATCAATGGAATTTCCCGGTGTTAATAGTCAGACCATTATCAACAATATCTTTCATTTTCAATGAAAGGTACAACTCATATAAGTATTTTTGATGAAATATTTTATTGGAATTCTGTCAATAAAGTTATTTCCGACAGGGTTTTGACTTTTTCCAGAAAAGATCTCTGAAAGAAAAAAATCATCTCTTTTATTTAAGCTGTTGACTTTTAATTGAAAATTGATTTTAGGTTGTTTGGTCTCTAGAGAACCAAAATCTCAATAAACTAAATGTTTGGGTACATTCTTTTTATCTTAATTAATTATCATAATTTTTTTAAGATAAATTAACCCAAAAACTTAGTTTTTTTTTTTATAATTATCTCAACATAATTTAAAGAAAAAAACTGTACCAGAAGATTACCAGATAGGCTATTGTTTGAGACATCAATTACTTCCAGAGAAGAAATGTTGAAGATGGAAGGTGGAATCACCCCATTTAGACGCATGTCCACGGCTGAAAATAACTCCAATGCAATAAGATTTTCGATCTCTCTTGGAATTTCACCTGATGAAAAAGGTAAAAATATGAGATTAGAATCATATAAAGCAATCGATTTTTCTAATATTACAAATCATATCGAAATTATATTTATATGTTCTAATAGATATGAGACTGAGATTAAAAGGTGAAACAATAGAACTTTACCTTCTAAATCATTAACACCTACATATATCTTCTTGAGTTTGGTTGAATTTCCGATGCTCCTTGGGATGAACCCACTGAACCGATTATAAGATAATGATAAATATTGAAGATTTCTGCAGTCACCTATTTTGGAAGGAATATGGCCAGAAATTTCGTTGTAGGATATAACAAAGGTCTCAAGATTTACAAGATGGTAACACATATTCTGTGGAATGCTGCCAGATAGACTATTGTTGTAGAGATAAATTAGTTTCAAAGAAGAAATATTAAAGATGGAAGCTGGGATTGGGCCAACAATTAGGCTCATGTCTCCAACCGCAAATTCCTCCAAACTCAGAAGATTTCCAATTTCCCAAGGGATTTCACCTGTCACCATAATGAAAACCAAAGTCATAATTTGTTCAGACCAAAGAAAAGTTAAAAAGGCCAAAAAAAAAAAAACTTTACCTGCCAAATTATTTCCACTCATGTCTACTAATTTGAGCCTTGTTAAATTGCCAATACTCCTAGGGATGATGCCACTGAATCTATTGAGGTACAATGTTAAATTCTGAAGATTGCTGCATTCATCTATGCTGGATGGAATTTGACCGGCAAACTCATTCAAGTGCAAGTATAGTGCCTCAAGTTTGGGCAGATGGCGACATATATCTTGGGGCAAACTACCAGATAGACCATTAGATGCAAGAGAGATCATCTGTAGGGAGGAAATGTTGTAAACGGTTGAAGGTAAATGGCCATGGAAGTGGTTGTCGTCCAAATTAAGTGACACTAGGAAGGAGAGATTTCCCAGGTGTGGAGGGACAGTTCCTGTAAGATCCATGTTGGGAAGGCTCAGGGCTATGACTCTGCTATGCTTAGCAGAGCAGGAGACACCAACCCAGTTGCAAACAGAGTGGGTGTTACTCCAGTTGTTGGCTAAGATGTTTTGAGGATCAATGATGTGGTGTTTAAATTCGAGGAGTGCATGCTGGTCAGTGGTGAGGTTCCTCACAGCAATCATGGCGTAGCTAACCATGAAACAGCAGTGAATGAACAAAGCTGACGAGAGAAAATGTAATTTTCTCATGTTCATGGATGTGGGAAGGATGAAGAAACAGAATTGATGGAAATTGCAGGATGGTTAAGGAAGTTTGCTTAAAGCATTGCTTCAATAGGATTCAAGGACCAACTCGTCAACAAGACCAAGACTCTGAGAGAAGACCATAAAGCATTGCTTAGGTAGAATTCCACACGCACAGGCGGACTCCTTGCCACCACCCAGACTCTTGACCCCTTGTCTTGGTCTTCCACGATAAATGAAAACCAGTCGCGCAATACGTCAAGCTTTTCAGACTATGATATGATTGATGGAACCCCATGTTGCAAGGAAGTCTCTCTCCAATTGATGACAAGACACAGGAATGGGAAACTTGCCCTGTTGAAATCAAATCGCCTTGCTTCATCAAAGCTTATGTTCCCATCAAAATTTTAAGTCAGCAAGAGCAAGAGACCTGCATGTTCCAATTACAAAACCAATCTAGTCTTTCCCTTCCCTCGACAGAATCCTCACGTAATAAATTTGCTTGGTTCTAATTTGTATCAATTTGCTTCATAATATTATACTTTTATTTCTATCAGAATTCTGGACACACTTGGTGCGTGGGTGAATGGAGAGAAAAAAAAAAGGTAACAATTTTAGAGGATTAGAATGATTGATGAATAAAAAGAGCACTTCTTGGATAAGATTTGTATTCGAGTACTTGACTTATTAGTTGATATATAATTTTTTTATTTAAAAAAATAAAATTCGAATCCTTTTTTTATAAATAATTAGAAACAAGATTTACTTAATGAGAGAATTTTTTATTTAGGGAACAAGAGAAGTGTTAAGTGAGGCATTTCGTTGTTGTGCCTTGGAATTACTTGGTTTATGCATGATGTATGACCAAAGCTACTAATATATTTCCTTTTTGTTTTCTTATATAATTAGAATTCATAAGCATTTTTGTAAATTATTATATTTTAGCAATAAAAATTTATTATTTTATTTATTTTATTTTTATCTATTTGGTTGTATTTTAATTTTTATGTAATTATCTTTAAAAGTAAACATAAAAAATTAGAGAAAAAACAAAAATAGTTAAAAAAATAAAAAAAAGATATTTGTGTTTATGAATTTTTTTATTGGAAATGGATATTTTCATATGAAATTTGGAATTTTACCAACGAGAATTTTTGAAAAAAAAATATAATTTTAATGAAAATTACCAATTAAAATTTTATGAAATTTAATCATATAAAAAATTATTATTAATAAATTTGTCGAATATCATCAATAAATATTTTGTTGATAATGAATTAGGCCATAATTTTTTTTATTTTCCCTTTATTTTAGTTAATTATTATATATTTTTTAAGATAAATTAACCTAAAAACTGACCTTTTGCAATCATCATCTCAATATAATTTAATTAAACTCCTCGCCAAAAACGTAAAAAACTGAACTGGAACATTACGTGATAGCCTATTGTTTGAGACATCAATTACTTTCAAAGAATAAATGTTGAAGATGGAAGGTGGAATCAATATAAGGTATGTGCGTATCTTCAAGAAGATTGAAGGTGAATTAATAGTGGGAATAAGAGTCAATCTGTTGGAAAAGCCTTTGGATTTTGAATTTATTTGGCTATTTTAATTTAAGTATTAGACTTATTAGTTGAGTATGATATTTAATTTTTATAAAAATATTGAATTTCAATATATTATAAAGTCTATGAAATCGGGTTTGAAGTAGGAATAGAGGTTTGTATAGAACACAAAATTAAAAGGTTGGTAATCATGTCCTGAAATTGAAGTAATGGCAGCAGCAACAACTTCTTCTACCTGCATACTTGACCTCACCTTTCACTGCAGTTTCAAGTCTAAACTGGTGGCTCATCATGGCATTAAAGCGCGTGCCTTTCTCAAACACAACATGATCAACTACAAATAAAGATTAGCAGTTACCCTTTCATCAAATTATAACTCATCAACGAGTTTCATGATGTGAGCATTATGAGTAACCATGCGAATTTAATTGATTAGGTGAAAAATATTAAGTTAAATTAATAATGTCTCTAATTTTCTGTTTAACATATTATTAATATAAAAAACATTTATTATACCTGTATCATACGATACACTTTCAATATTTATTTAAAATAATATAATATATTAATATATATCATTTTTTATTAATATCATACCGTATCATAAAATATGTAATACGTATCGTACAATATTAATAATTATGTAAATTGATACTAATTATATAATATATCAACTTATTAATAGTATTGTAGGTATTGCATATATTGATAACTTTGCTTTTGACTATGATAACAATATCAAAAGCATATTGAATTTTGACAACAATATCAAAAGCATATTGGTTTTAGTCTTTTAATCATATAGAATTATTTTTTATAAATTCATGCAGGATTATGTCTTCAAATTAAACCATAATTAAGCTTAAATGGTAATTAAACATGTGCTTTTATTTCTTCTTATTTCCTTTGGCTAGATTCCATTTTGTTATTGAGAAAATTTTGTGATGTGAGAGTACGAGCTAGTATATATCTACAATTTTCTTTAATATTCTCCAAAGAAAATTTATTTCCAATTGAAAATTAATTACATCCATGTCATGACTCTTTCATTGATCAAATTCCTCTAAGTTTTGCTTCCTTTTGGTGAAATATTATATAAAAACACTAAACTAATTATATCGTACCTGAAACTCTCAAATAGAGATTGAGTTATATTCTAAAATCAATTACAATTTTGTTTATGATAATCTTAGACAAATACGTATATTTAAAATTTAGCACTATAAATACAATATTCACCCCACTATTCCTATTCATCTAGCTTTCCTATCCATTTAGTTCAGAAGAGAAAAAAATGGAGTTCTTCAAATCTTTGTTTGCTGCTATTATTATTTCGTTTTTCTTATTTCAGGTTAATGCCACCAATGTCACCCATGATGGCAGATCCCTCATAATTGATGGAGTACATAGAGTTTTAATATCTGGTTCAATTCATTACCCAAGAAGCACAGCACAGGTAATATATTATTACATGTTAATAATAATAATCGAATTATTCTGTTTATAAATTTATTTATTGATATAAATATATTTAGATCTTGATTTTCTTTTATTTTGCTAGATGTGGCCTGATCTTATTAGAAAGGCCAAAGAAGGTGGATTGGATACAATTGAAACCTATGTATTTTGGAATGCTCACGAACCAATTCGTCGTCAATATGATTTTAGTGGAAATCTTGATCTCATTCGGTTTATTAAAACCATTCAAGATGAAGGATTATATGCAGTACTTCGAATTGGACCTTATGTTTGTGCTGAGTGGAATTATGGGTAAATTAATTAATTGTTTTGTGTATTTTAGAATTTTGATATTTTTATAATACTAATTTTCGTAGCTTAATTTTTATTTTATTAGGGGTTTTCCTGTATGGTTGCACAATTTGCCGGGAGTTTCTTTCCGAACTAAAAACGATGTGTTCATGGTATAATGATTTTTCTTCTTAATAATTATTCATTTGTTTTAATTAATTATTTTTTATATATGTAACATAGTTTTCCTTTTTTAATTTTTCAGAATGAGATGCAAAATTTCACTACTTTGATAGTTGATATGGTCAAAAACGAGAATCTCTTTGCATCGCAAGGAGGTCCAATTATTCTTGCTCAGGTATATATATACATCAATGATTCAGTGTTATTATTATTATTATTATTATATATGATGTTTAATTAATATTATAACAAATTTGTACAGATTGAGAATGAATTTGGAAATGTTATGGGTCCTTATGGAGCCGGTGGAAAGGAATATATTCAATGGTGCTCTAATATGGCTGAATCTCTAGGCGTTGGTGTCCCATGGATCATGTGTCAACAACAAGATGCTCCAAAGCCAATGGTAATACATTTATCTATGAATTATGTGTAAATTTTGTTTTAATAAATATTAATTATTATAGTAATTGATATTTGATTTCTTCTTTGATCAGATTAACACATGCAATGGTTTTTACTGTGACGAATTTAAACCAAATAATCCAAGTAGCCCTAAGATGTGGACAGAAAATTGGACTGGCTGGTTCAAGAGTTGGGGTGGTGCTGACCCTTATAGAACAGCTGAAGATCTTGCTTATTCTGTTGCTCGTTTTTACCAAAAGGGTGGTACTTTCCAAAATTATTACATGGTCAGTGCTTTTTTAATTAATTTTTTACTCATATTAGAAACAATTTATTGTGTATATTTTGTTTTTTACTAACTTGGGTTAAACATTTAGTACCATGGTGGCACCAATTTTGGTAGAACTTCAGGTGGCCCGTATATCACTACTACATATGACTACAATGCACCTCTTGATGAATATGGTAATAATTTCAATACATAGTTCATGTCTCTATAAATTTTGTTTTTTATTAAAATATTATCATCAATTGTTAATTAATTTTTTAATAGGAAATCCAAATCAACCAAAATGGGGACATTTGAAGCAACTTCATGATGTCTTGCATTCGATGGAGTATACTCTTACTCATGGTGACGTCACAAATACAGATTTGGGTAATTCTATTTCGGTAAGATTGATTTTTTTTTATTTTAAAAAATATAATATTTAATAAATATGTTCTAATATTTTTTTTTAATTTATATTATTTAGACTACTCTCTATTCGACAAAAGAGAAATCAAGCTGCTTTTTGAGTAATGCACACAATCAAACAGACGCTGTGGTCAAATTCGGAGGGATTGATTATTATCTTCCAGCATGGTCTGTTAGCATTCTTCCTGACTGCAAGGACGAAGCATACAACACTGCAAAGGTGTATGCTCAAACTTCAGTGTTGGTAAAGAAACCCAATAAGGCTGAGGATGAACCCAATTCTCTGGAGTGGGTGTGGAGACCTGAGAATATCGAGAGGACGGCTGTGCAAGGGAAGGGAGACCATCATGCTAACAGGATCATTGATCAAAAAGCTATGGCAAATGATGCTAGTGACTATCTGTGGTACATGACAAGGGTCGAGCTTCCCAAGGATGATCCCCTTGTGACTGGAAAGGCTACCCTTCGTGTAACTGATAGCGGTCATGTTCTTCACGCTTATGTCAACGGAGAATACATAGGTTCTCAATGGGCCCAATATGGCAGTCAAAAGTATGTTTTCGAGAAAGAAGTCAAGCTGAACCCTGGAAAGAATTTGATATCATTGCTCAGTGCCACAGTTGGATTACAGGTATGTAACGTATATAGATACATATATACCACCCATCATAATTTTGCTATCAGTTTTGATGATTTTATTGACAAATTGTCTACAGAACTATGGCCCCATGTTTGATTTGAATGTTACTGGAGTTCTGTCTCCTGTCGAATTGGTTGCTCACAAAGGCAATGGCAAAGTAGTCAAAGATTTATCATCACATAAGTGGTCATACAAGGTCGGGTTGGATGGAGTTGCAAACAAGCTTTACGAAACAGATTGTCCTTCAAAGTTGAAATGGTCAGCAGATTCTCTTCCTGTTGACAGGAATATGACTTGGTACAAGGTAATTTGCACCATCAATTTATTTATAGTATGGATAGTAACATTACTGTTATTGTGATTAGTTTATTGATTGTTGTTCTTGGGAAAATGCAGACAACCTTCAAAGCTCCACTGGGAAATGCTCCAGTTGTTGTGGACTTACTAGGTTTAGGCAAGGGCCATGCATGGGTGAATGGTCATAGTCTTGGTAGGTATTGGCCCAGTTACATAGCTGATGAGCACGCTTGCCAGACTGCTGCTTGTGATTATCGTGGTGCATATAGTGACAAGAAGTGTGTGTCTAAGTGTGGCGAACCTACTCAAAGATGGTAAGCAATTAATTATGTTTTACATAAATATTTCACATTGTGAATCCAAACTCTTGTTTTAATTTTTGTTGTTATTTGATAGGTACCATGTTCCACGATCGTTCCTTAAAGATGGTGAGAACACATTGGTTTTGTTTGAAGAATTTGGTGGTAATCCTTCTGGAGTACAATTCCAGACTGTTGAGATTGGGACGGCATGCATAAATGCTCATGAGGGAAAGAAGGTGGCACTGTCTTGTCATAACCGACCGATTTCAAGAATTAATTTCGCTAGCTTTGGCGACCCACAAGGTGTCTGTGGATCCTTCAAGAAGACCGAATGTGAGTCAACAGAGGATGCAGTGTCCATCCTTGAGAAAGAATGTGTTGGCAAGGAGTCATGCTCCTTTGAGATTTCTGAAGACAAATTTGGAAAAGCTTATTGTGCTGTTAAAAGGCTAGCAGTGGAGGCCGTTTGTTAGGATTTTTTTTTTTTTTTTGGATTTTAAGTAATACTAGGATTTACCTTTTGCTGGCTTTTGAGTAAGCATTTAGGGGAAATAGTTTGTTTATATTAGTTAAAGTTAGGGGAAATAGTATGCTTATATTAATTTAGGTATTAGGTCGGAGTGTTCTAAACAATTTTTATAAATATTTAAATTTATAAAATATTACTTTTTAATATGTTGTTCTGAAATTGTTATTTAGGTAGAATTCCATAAGACTCTTAACCCTTTTTGTCTTGGTCTTCCACCATAATGTGATTGATGCAATCAAAATTCCACCCCATGTTGCAAGCAATCCTTTTTCCAATTGATGGAATGGGAAACTTGGCATGTTGCAATCGAATCACTTTGCTTTTCACCTACATCAAAGCCTATGTTCCAATAAAAATTTTAAGTCAGCGAAAGCAAGAGCCCTATGTTCCTATTACAGCACCAATCTAGTCTTTGCCTTCCGTCAACAGAATCCTCATGCAATAATATTAGCTCTTCATAATTAATTTGCCATTCATAATATTATTCTTTTATTTCCGCCAGAACTGTAGACACACTTGGTGCGTGTGTGAACAGAGAGAAAAAAATATATTGAAATTTTAGAAGATTAAAATGATTGATGAATAAAAAAATTCTACTAAAATAAAAGTTTTAGAAAAATTCTTATTTCAGACCGTTAGCATGTTATCTCATTTTAAAGGCAATGCTAATATACCAAAGAAAAATAGAGCAGAAATTACTTTTAAAATATCACACATATTTCCTTTGCAATTTTTAAATAAGATTGTCAAAATAGGATGTTAAAAGCATTTAGACTGGTTTTATCGTTCTATTCTATCCCTTTTCTATGGGATGTGGAACAAACTCAATGGATGTGGTTTGTTTATATTTTTGTTATATAATTTGATTGATAGATAAAAATCTAATTTGTCAAGTGTTCAATTTAAAAACCCAAACAAAACTTTGTTTTTTCAATGTCATTCATCTTAAATTCTTTTTTAAGTAATCCACGATTTTGGATAACTTTTTAAAATTCTAATAATGTTCAAGTCATCAACATAAACAACAATTATGATAAATTCAAATCTAAAACCTTTCATAAAATACATGGATATATAGAATTATTTTTATAGTATTTTTTAACAAATATTCACTGAGGCAATTATATTACAAGTATCTTATTACTTTAATCTATACAAAAATTTATTTAATTTAATCGAATAAATTTTTTAAAAATTCAAATATTGTACTTCAGGCAACTTAAATCCTTCAAGGATTTTCATATAAATATCATTATCAAATGAGCTATATAAATAAGCTCTACCTACATTCAGCAGACGCATATTAATCTTCTCATTTATTGCTAGACTAATTAATATAAAATTATAATTACATTCACCACAAGAGAATATATCTCTTTATACTCAATACTAAGTCTTTGGATAAAACCATGTGCGATAAGCTGTGCTTTATATTTTGTAATCTCATCTTTATCATTTCGTATTTAAATCTTTCTTTGTTGCTATGATTTATTCTTTCTTCTTATTTCATTATTAATATATTAATAATGACACGAATAAAATGATCATTACCTACTTACCCAATTAGAGAACTCTTGAAATCTTCCTAAACATTATATGGTGTGAAATCAATGTTGAGAAACTTTGGATATTAAAATTTTGATCTTTTAGATCAATTTTTTTTTTGTCGCCATTACGAATACTTCACAATAACAATCTCTACCAATTCGATGTATGGCAAGATATATTCATTTATTGTGAGATAATAGGATTCATGGTTGTCGAGTAAAACATATTCATTTATTATCAAATAATAAGATTCGAACTTGTCGAGATTAAGATTTTTTATATATACTAATCGAAAGTGAAAAAAATATAACGTATTTTTTAATTTTACAAAATTATAGTAATGATTTCACAATGTTAAAATTAATAATATCTTCAGCTTTTTTTTAACATAATATTAATATAAAAAATATATATCATGCGTGTATCGTGCGATACACGTTCAATATTAATTTATTTAAAATGGTACAGTATATCAATTTTTATCTTTTTTTTAATTAGTATCGTAATATATACATGTCATATATCTTTTATTTTTCCTTTAGCAGAAATTTATATCAAATATATCTTCAGTTTTTTTCTTAATATAATGTTAATATAAGAAATATATATCGTACGTGTATCGTGCGATAACGTTCAATATTCTCTTTTTTTCTATCACCATTATGTAGACTTTAGGTAACAATCTCTCCTAATTGGATGGATGTTAGGGTATATTCATTTATTGTAAGATAATAGGTTTCAAGGTTATCAAGAAGTATATATTCATTTATTACGAGATAATAAGAATCAAAGTTGTTTAGTGTGGAGATGAGGTGATTTAGTTAATTTGAGATACGAGATTTTTTAATTGTATAAATACTTGTTTTGAACTTGTTCTTCAAGTTCTTATTGAATATATATATATATATAAAACATTAATATCCTTATAAATAAATATAACATGTGACATTATTTTAGCTAAAGGGAAATGGATGGGCAAGCCTGGTGCAACTTGTGTACTGCGAAACTAATTTTTATAAAAAAATAATTTAAATTTGTAAAAAAAAAATTATAATAATTAATTAAACTTAAAAATGTATCAATCGTATCATACGATATGTCAACTTATAATATGAATTATACGATATATCAATATATCAATTATACAATAACATATTATAATATACGTCGTAACATATTAATAACTATACTTTTAACTATGATAATAATATTAAAAGTGTATTGGTTTAGTTGATAATAATATTAAAAGCGTATTAGTTTTAATCAATTTTAATCATCTAGAATTATTTTTTTTGATAAGCTAATCATGTAAGATTATGTTTACAAATTAAATTGTAATTAAGCTTAAATTTTAATTAAACATGAGTTTTTATCTCTTCCTGTTTTGTTATTAGATAATCGTGTACTAGTTAGTATATTTCAAATTTTCTTTTAATATTTACCAAAGAAAATAATTTATTTGCTTCTTTTTTGTAAGAAATAAATAAAAATTCTAAACCTAATTGAAACTATTAGGTAGAGTCTAAAACTAGTTATATCCTAAAACTAGTTTGTAAAACCAATTACAAGTTTACTTATAATAGTTTTCTTCCCAAAAAGAAAAAAAATGGAGTTACTTAAATCTTTATTTGCTGCTATTTTTTTTTTCTTACTTCTTGGTAATGCTACCAATGTCACCCATGATGGCAAAGCTTTCATAATTGATGGATTGCATAAAATTTTAATCTCTACTTCAATTCATTACCCAAGAAGCACAGCAAAAGTATTAAATGTATCGAATTTTCTGTTTATAAATTTATTTATTAATATAAATATATTTAGATTATGATTTTTTTTGTTTTATTAGATGCGGCCCGATCTTATTAAAAAGTTCAAAGAAGGTGAATTAGATACAATTGAAACCTATGTATACTAGTACACTTAGAAACCAATTCGTAGTCAACATGATTTTAATGAAAATCTTGACCTCATTCGGTTTATTAAAACCATTCAAGATGAAAGATTATATGCAGTACTTCAAATTGGACCTTACGTTTATGCTAAGAGGAATTATGGGTAAATCAATTAATTATGCTGTGTATTTTATAGTTCTAATATTTCAATATAATATTTTTGTAGTACTAATTTTCGTGACTTAATTTTTATTTTATTAGGGGTTTTCTTGTATGGTTGCATAATTTGCCTGGAGTTTCTTTCCAAACTAAAAACAATGGATTCATGGTATAATAATTTTCTTCTTAATAATTTATGTATTTTTTAACCAATTATTTTATATATATGTAGCATAATTTTTTTAAAATTTTTCAAAACGAGATGCAAAATTTCACTACTTTAATCGTTGACATGATTAAAAAAGAGAACCGTTTTACATCCCAAGGAGGTCCAATTATTCTTGATAGAATAATGTTTCATTAATACTATTATTTATGATGTTTAATTAAAAAATTAAAAAATTATGATTAAATGTTGAGAGTGATGATATACTTTTCCTTTTAAGAACAGAATAGAATGTAATGAGTAAGACCTTTTGCTTGCATCCAAAACCAGACGTAATGTTAATTAAAATTGTGAGTAAAATTAGTTATTAACAATATTTTAAAACTAAAGTTTAAATTAATTAATAGTATAAAAGTACTAGAACAACATAAAAAGTTTATATGAAAACTATTTATTATAAAAATCATCATTCAAATCAGGTCTTTTCAATTGATGACTAATAACAAATAATTGTCTACTTAAACTTAGATCGAATGTGCATACACCACGAAATCCTAGATACAATTACAACCATTGATTTAGCCTAATATGCTCATAGTTTCATTCTAATCTACGAATGCTTTTATAGAACAATCATGCAGTACTACCATCTCACAGTGGCAACATTCAAGAATCAATCCTGGCTTAAATGCTTATGGTCTATGGAGGATTGTCATGTTCTTGTACCAAAACGAGCTTGAACTGGAAAACAATCACCTGCAAGAGGAAAACAATCACCTGAAAATCCAGAAAGAAGAGGATGATACTTCAAACATGAGCAGTACTTAATCAAAGAATAACAGCAACAGCACTGAATATAAGATTAAACATTCTAGGATATCTCATATTTATGGGTTTGGCCATAGCAAACAGAGACCTAGAAATATGACCACAATCAACACTATCAAATCTAAAAAAAATACTTTTAAATTCTGTCTCTGAATCATTGGTCCGGCCCTTAGCACATATTATGCAGACTATTTTTATAATTAAAAACAGAATAGTATTATTTAGATGGAGTTATATATAAAAGACATCTGCTTTATCCTTTGTAGAGCTTTGTGATGACATAAAACCACTAGTTCTATATTAATATATTAATAATGGCACGAATGAAATGATAATTGCCTGCTTACCCAC